GGCTCCATCCCTCATGACTAGAGCCCTTAGCGCACGCAATAGCGTGCGCAGCCGCCTGGTAGTTAATAAAAGGAATATGGCCAACTCTTCCGAGTGGGTCGTAATTCTGCCTCAGAAATTTGAGAGGCACTGTCAAAAATCAGCAAAAGTCAGGAATAAAGGATAAAAACCGATCAATCCCGCCTCAGGAATGCGCCCAGTCATTCGAATTCCATTCGAAATGGTAGTGGCATATTGAATGCGTATGTGACCTATACAATGACTTGCTTTGGCCAGCCGATGTAGTGTGCTACCAGTCAGTGCTTTTATCCTCCCTGACGAATCTAGTACCAATGACGCGATCCCAGAGTGATAAGGCTTCGTTGGCCCGGGTGGATATCGATCCGGGACTCAAACCGTGACAATGCGCCTTAGAAGTGAGCCACTGCAACTACACCACCTCCGCCCCAAAGATGGGAATAGGTCAACAAATAAGACAAAGAAAACTCACTGTCACTCAACCAAGCGTTCCCTTCTCCATAAACTCACAGCCCAAGACGGCCTATAGTCAGCTTCATAAGGGTAGCGCTGACGTTGAAAAATTTATCTGTTTGACGTGCTCCTTATTTTACGCACGCGATAGTGAGCAAAGCCCAAAGGTTGAGTGATAACCAAAGGCAAAAAACGGGAGAGTATACAGGACTCTCGAAATCTTGGATTTTTTTGAGCCCGTTCATTTCTAGGACTGTGGCCATGACGGTGTGTTTGGCCACATGTTTAGTCGCTGCAAAGCAACTTATCTTAGCTATAAGCGTGTTGCATGGAAGAACAATGTGCTAAGTTGTGAATAGTGCGTCAAACAGATGGGATAGCCTTTACAAAGTCGTGGCATGACATTTTCTGGGGTTGTTCGTCGCCGTAAGCAATCAAGACCGGCTCCTGAGCCCCATATTGCGTCTGGTCTTATCAGCTTTTCGACCCGACAACGCCCTTTCCTATGAAGCGCCGATCGCTTCAAATCAGGAACCTCGAAAAAGTTCTCTGGCGAGCTGCCCCATTAACTAACATTTGATACCTTCTGAAGGCGATCGCCCTCCAGAATCCATCACTCTTTCAAAGCGGCTTATCAAAGAAGTAGCGGCAAAACTAAAAATTGGAACTGTGTGAATGGCATAGACTTGATGCATAGATGTGTAGCTTAGCCGCCTTTTAATCGTCCTTTTATTCGTCTTACGAGGCCAGTTTCCAATCATTGTGATGTTTGTAGAAGATTACCTTTCTAAGAACTCATGCCAATACTTCCATCTACGTCAACAAGGAAAGCTCTCAACCATACATTGTGACAATGGTGCAACGTGTCGCCTCTTGAATCGTTTATGTGATTGCGCATCCAACCATTGTTTGGGATGTTGAGCAGTGCGGGTTAAGAGGAAAAATTAGATAATAATTCCTAGAATTGCTAAATGCTTCCGCTATTGTTCCAGAGACTTGAGCGCTCGAAAAGTGATCTTCTGTAAACATTTTTATGATTTTCGAACCGACCTCGTAAGAGAAGAATTGCTCACGGAACGTATAAAAGCATAGCCGAAATTCATCAAGGCAGCAATTTCCCATGCTTCGTCTCGTTGTATTTGTTAGCATCATCGCTCTTGCGTTGGTGAGTCTTTCACGTAGTGGTGGAAGCCTTGTAGGGCAGTTGTGTTGGCAATTGACAGTTGCATCTATGGAACGTGTGAGACGGAAATGAAGAGTAGAACCATGATTTTCACAACAGCTCTTTGTATCGTTTAGGCTTGTGCTCAAAAGACAAACTCAGGCAGCTCAGGCAGCTCTGGCAAATCAAATATTAGGCTGGCAAATAAGTCCTGCGACAAAAAATTTGAAGCGTTGAAAATTTGTATCAAAAGTGTGAACACGGTAGCAAGGGTGATAAACTTGTAGGACGTTCCCCGCGCAATCAGCACATGAGTGAATAAGGGCACGCGTATGGGCTTTCGCAGCATTGCGGTCAATGAATGGACAACACACGATTCGTAGCATCACCTTCTACTAAGGACTCCAGGGAAAAAACGCAGGTGTAGCGGCTCGAAATATCAGCAAACTAT